CCTGCAATGTTTAAAAGCAGAACAGTAACCGAATTATCGATACGATGTTCATAGAGGAAACGAGCTGAAGTACAGCGTTCTGCTGTTTTCGATTCGAATTCACTCAGTTTTCGCTATGCAAGTAATGTGAAATATATGCCTTATCTTCGATTTCTAGTCTCACCTTTCAACGTCATCCGCATCGGAAATAATTCTGTGAAATAGTTCACATGTTGGCCTTCTCCATTCTGTGAAAAGGCTGTATTCTAGAAGGGTCCTCTGAGCAATTTTCCCAAAAACTAATATGAACGGCACCCTCGATATTTCCATTCTTGTTTCTAGCCTGTGGTATTTTATTGGAACAAGTTTATCTTAAAGATATTAATAGATCATTTATTCTATAGTTGTCATTGTCCCGTTACCCAACAGTCACAGGGTTTATAACGGTTTTTAATGATTACTGTAGGACTGTAATACGCGGAATACTCAGTCTGCACTTCGCCCTGTCATTCGATCACTGCAACTTTCTTCGATATCTTGGTTCGATTTTTAGACAATGTTTTTCATCGTAAAGTTGCCATATTTTCAATAATTCAACTTTGGTGCCTCCGTCGCGGAGCTGGCAATGACTAAATTGCGACATTGCGTGATAAGACAAAGAACGATAGGACCTGACTTTACTCTGTTTGTTGAAAGGTTTGTTATTCATCCTAAAACTGTTGACCGACTGTCTGAGCTATATGTGAATTTTAAAATAGTTCTGCTTAAAAGAAGTACATTCCGGCTTCATATGAAAGCGGAAGGATTGGTGGCCACTGGACTTGTCAATCTTTGACGAAAGCAGAGTGAAATCCTTTTCATCATACCTTCTGCAGATGATGAAGACCCAGTGATAAGATGAATTTCAGATTAGAATAAAGTGTGATATATGATATAAAGAAATAATTGAAGTTTTGTTTCTGCTAACAAAATGACGAGGTCAGTAGATCTGGAGAAAAACTGTTTCAACTTATGTATCAGTGTATTTACCTTATGGAAAAAGTCATTCAACGATATCCGCAGACGCATGAGAAAGTAGAGCTTACCTTCTAAAGGCGAACTAATCGTTCCTTAGTTTACTCGCCTCTTCTCGTGAGCGTCCGTTTTCAGACAGTACTCCTGACCGCCACTCGTTAGCTACAGTAATCCTATTTTATTAGCATGTCTGACCAGCAGTGCACAAGCAGAGAGCTTGAATTGACGATTTAGCGTTAAGTGAATTTCACGGACAATCGAAATGCGTGGTAGGATGAAGCAAGTAGAGACCCTGGCTCGTATTAATTATTTTGGTTCATGGTGTATCATAAGCGTTCATTGTATTCATGAATTGGCATAGGCTGTTTCCAACGAAGCATATTTAAAGTTTGCTGTTCATCGGATGAAAATCGCCATTACCATTGAATTCATTGACGATTTGCACTGCTGGTTCTATCCACCTTTCAATCGAATTTTCGTCGTATTATTCCTAGAAATAGAAATAACGATGGAAGCAATTATTGGAAAACGGCGAGGTATCTTGGCAATCGACCGTAACTCTGCTCTTGGCAGTTTCCTTTTAATTAAATTTTGCATTTCGTAGTTATTTCGCTTACTACGATGGTAGAAGGTTATATCATTAGCCAGGAAGGCCATACTTGGAGGGACAGGGCTCGAAATCGCCAGAAATGGCGTACCGGCGTAATTCGTCGCTCGCTGATTACTGGTCGGTCCAGGTGATTCACGTGATTTCACAGTAATCTGTTTCATCAAATGCAAAGAAATTGGTCATTTGGGGAGCTTTGAACTGTCGTCCGATATTGTCTGTCAGCGCACCTTTTATTTACTGTTATACAACAGTCAATTTTGAAGCGTCGTTTTCCGGTCTTCAGGTTGTCTTGGTGACAAAATGTTTTTGAAAGATGATTTTTTAAGTCTGAATCAACAGTCCGCCACAGTAGCAAATTTCGTGCAGGTGAGTGGAGGAGAGCACTCGTGTAAATTTCTCTGATCAGGTTTACTTTAAACTGCCGTCTTCTCTCGTCGCAAGCATAAGAAAATTTTTTCTGAATGGTTCGTCCCCTTCGTACTCAGAGTTGTCGTTGAGAAGCGCCGTCGCTTTGACAGTTTGATGACTATGCCCAGTAGCATACGAAAGTTACGGTCAGTCATGGTTATGACGTTTTAATAGCACCGTCACAAGAATCTTCGTTCCGTCTCGTCTGCCTCACCTTCAGCGGTCATGACTCGCCCGCTATCCGCTCTCGATTCGAGCCTTCAGTATGAACAAGCGCTGATCCTGAACAAAAAGTCACTTTACATAGATTTTTAAGGCACTCCACTGAGATCTGCATTTGAGTCCAGTGACTGCAAAATCAGCAACAGTATTTTTTGTGCAGAATTTGTTGAGTACTTGTCATGTTTACAACTATATTTAGAAGTTGTTTAATCAGCATTTGCCAAACACTTGCGCAAGCTAAAGTATATCAGAAAAGCTGAACACGCCGACTTAGGTGAAACGAAGGTGCTTTAGACATGTGCTTAAAAATTTTTATTACCAGAAGACTGCAAAATTAAAATAATTCGTTCAAAAAATGCTTATACAGAGTTAGATCATAAATTATGGTTGTTGTGTCATCGTAATATAAAGACCAGTGTATTTTGACGAGCTTAATCGACTGTTCGTTTTATAAGAGTTAAGAAATGAAACTTTAGCATCTGCATCATGATAGATGAGAAATAAGAAACAGGGCACCTGTAAAGATACAGTATAAAAGAAGAAATATGTGCCCTGTGAGTAAAAGTAATAAAATGGCTACCATTTTAGAAAGATGCGTAACCGCAAAGCATCGCGTGAAAGTAGGTCAGTGCTGAAATTGGAATGTTGTCCTTTCCAGACTTGCGCTGAATCAGCGCTTCGTGCTCAGCTCCGCTGGGGACCAGCAAAACGAGCGGTAAGTGTGCGGTCGAAAAATGCAGAAGTACAACACAACACAACACAGCGTCGTTGCCTGAAGCCGTGTATTCACTTTCGTAGGGCCATCTTCGATGTCTCGTTGCCATAGCCGTAGCGACAAACATGACGTCAGAAATATTGATGGAGTGCAGCAGTGTCTGTTTAATTGAAATCAATAGATGATGCTTGTGTTCCAACTGTCAATCGAAGCGAAAAAGACGGAAACTATGTCAGAACACGGAACAGTGTGAATCACGAATACTGTCACCCCGATTGTATACGAACAAACAAATTTGAAACCCTAGACAAACAACAAAGAAAGCAGCAGGATATCGAGTTCGTACGATGAGCCATTGTCGCTGCATGACTAACCACCGAGGACTCGGTTGTATGCCAGCAAGCCTTACCTGCTGTGCGATCATGGCACTCACCAACGAGTGGTGGCTATCTGGTGATGATGATGATCAGTGACTAGCAGTAGTAGTAATCGACGAGGACGAGTGACGACGCTGATCGGTGACTAGTACGGTGAATAATGAAGCCCACTCTTGGCATTCACCGCGTGCCTTAATACCCAATCAGAGATTAAGACAGACAGTGAACACGCAGCGCGGGCCATCTGGTCTTGTATCACTGAGCACGGCCACCGCCCAGCAACCGGATCTACAGTTGACGCGTCTGCCACCAGCACGTAGCGAGGCGAAACCGACGACTGCCGTTCTGCACGACAGGCAACGACGACTGCGACCAGTCCGAACGCGAGCAGACCGAATGAGCGACTGAGTGAATGCATCAACTCCGCGGTCCTCGACGATGATGAAGACCGAGCGAGGGAGCGGACGGACGTTCGGCGTGCGATCGAAATCGAAGGGAGAGAGAGGAACTGAGGCGCTGTCGCCGCTGCCGCTGCCGCTGCCGCTGCCGCTGACGTCAATGAAGACTGATTACCACATGAGGGCAGGAATGTTTTCTCTGCAAAAGATATTGATTAATAACCAAGGAAACGAGAACGTAATACGAAACTGGCTGTCCAGGCCATGCTCTGTGCTCACAGCAGCTCAGTTCGGCTCGTTTCGGCTCGGTTCGACTCGTCGAAGAGTTACTCTGCTGTAATCCCTGCTTGGCTCGGACAGCTAGCGTTGCCTGTGGCTCTC